TTTTATCTCAACCCAGGAGTGTTTTCTCAGTCTTACTCCTCCGATTCACTTCCCCATCCCATCAGGGCAGGGGGACTGAGTGAGCCTGGTGCTTAGTTGCTGGCTGGGGCTAAACCACGACATTGTTTCATACCTGAAAGGAGAATCATGATGTGCTCCCTAAAGCCCAGGTAACAAAAAGTACCTGGACACCTACAAGGCACTGATTTTAATAGCAGCTTGAGTAAATCCTTCCCATCTAGACCCAAGCCTCTTTCCTATGTAGTGCTTGGCATGAGTCAATCACTATACAGAAGCCAGGGTACCTTTCAACAAAAATAACCAACTGTTTTTGCAGCTTTAACCAGTGCCGCCTTCTTTCCAAGACTGCTGACATAGTTTGTTTGCAGGACCCTGATCTTTCATTAGAAGGTATTTCAGAAAAATTGCATCTTTTCAGACTTTGGTGGACAATTAATCTATTTTGTCCCATGAAGGTATCTTCCTGTCAGCAGCATTGTTTTCATAATGATTTATGATATATAATGGAATCACTCTTACAGATGATACAACCCTGTGAAAGGCAAAAATGCAGACCCTACCTCCAAAGAACCAGCAGTCTAACACCCACTGGCAAACACCATCAGCGAAAAAGACTTATCACAGAAATCAAATTGTCAAATGAATCAGAAAACTGACAAGTCATAATAGTCTGTATTAAAGGGCAAGCTAGTCATGAATTTAAAATTCATATTAGATATTGTTTTCCACACTGAAATATTGTCATGTGCTTTTCTGAGAAGCATCTTGGTTTCCTGAAGCCATGAAACAAGTCCCTACAAGTTCCCATTCTTCTACACCAAAATGAAAACTTACGTGCCCAAATGAAACACTGCTCATATATGGGCTATGCCATTATTACTGGTGACCATCGGAATAAACTCTAAAGGAAGACACAGATCACACAATCACAGAATGGTTGAGGTTAGAAGGGACCTCTGGAGGTCATCTGGTACAACCCCCTGCTCAAGCAGGCCACTGAGAACTGGCTGCCCAGGACCATGTCCAGGTGGCTTTTGAATATCTCCAAGCAGGGAGACTCCACCACCTCTCTAGGCAACCTGTGCCAGTGCTTGGTCACTCACACAGTGAAAAAGTGTTCCTAATGTTCAGAGGGAACCTCCTGTGTTTCAGTTTGTGCCCACTGCCTCTGGCCCTGGCCCTGGGCACTAATAGAAAGAGCCTGTCTCTGTCTCTTTGCAACCTCCCTTCCAGTCTTTGTATACATTGATGAGATCCCTCTTGAATCTTCTCCAGGCTGAACAGTCCCGGCTCTCTCAGCCTTTCCTCATAGGAGAGATGCTCCAGCCCCTTCGGTATCTTCGTGGCCCTTTGCTGGACTCTCTCCAGTATGTACGTGTCTCTCTTGTATTGGGGAGCCCCAAACCAGAGACAGCACTCCAGGGGTGGCCTCACCAGTGCTGAGTGGAGGGGAAGAAGGATCACCTCCCTTGACCTGCTGGCAACACCCCTACTAATGCAGCCCAAGATACTACTTGCCTTCTTTGCTGCAATGTAAATGACCCCTGTCCTTTCACTCATCTTCGCATCACATAAATACACTGATTTGTTCTACAACCGTTTTTTTTCCCTTCTTTTCGAAAGGGATATGTTCTTAAAACCCAAACTTAACCGAGCTGATTATTTCCTTTCCAGTTCAGAAGTTATGATGCATACTGGCAAGTGCTGGGACATTTCAAGCTGTGGGAGGATATTAGCTAGCTTCAAAATGAATTGTTCATTTTGATAATGACATTTTGGATGAAGGATGGTCTCGGATTTCATATCTGGGTTCATTTCCTGTCTCTGTTAATGTCTTTCTGCCTGACCTCTGCAAGAGTTACGTTTCTCCGTACTTCCACTCCTCATCCATAGCAGACAATAACGCTACAATCATTCCAACTGTTTCTTGTTTAAAACTGCAGGCGCTCTGACCCAGAGGCTATTTCCTACCATGCACGCAATTCACAGCTTAGCACAGTTAGTCTCGCCTCACCTACCTAGGAGTCTGACAGATGATAATGCTGTACAAATAACTGGTGCTTTACTCACAGCCATCCAAACCACATATCCAAGTATGTTTAATATCTTTGCTACATAAGTCAATATTGATACTAAAATTACTCATTTCTAAGTACTACTGGCAGAATAAGGATGATTGTGATTTAATCTGTATAAATGATCAGCCTAAATACTTTTAGACTTGAAAAAAAGATGAAAAAAAAAGACCATAGTCAGCAATACAGCTGCTCTCCACCCATAAATCAACTCTAGTATAACAGGAAGCAGTTTATATGGGGCTTGCTCCTGCAGGGGACTTAGTCATTTAGATATACTGGACTTAAAATGTACTCTCTTACAAGAAAAAGCATTTCAGTTACACACACAAAACAATGTCAGTAAGTTAAAACTTGAATAGCACTGCAGAGAACAAACCCAGGTATACATGTTCAGCTGACAATGAAATATTGCCAGCAGCCTCACAAAAGCGCAAAGAGGCTACATCAACTATTCCAAACACTTAAAATTGGGTGGAATACCAATAAGACTTTCAGATATAGTACACCTATACAGATAGTACTATTAATAAATTTATCTCTTAAAAATGTGCAACTGTATTTTTTAAATACTTGGGTGTAGTTGGTGATCTTTAAATGTAGCTTTTTCCCCGCTGCCATTTGCCTGAATTTTTCTAAACGTCAGATAGTCAAGGAGGGGAGGACTGACTGGTGTACACACACTTTGGAAAAATTTTACTTCCTTTTGGTTCTTAGCAAATAAAAAATGTCAGCATCTCTCCCTGTCTTAAAACAACCTCCTCTCTCTTCCCACTGTGTTGCATTTGATCTTTCTTCTGTAGAGCCTCATTATTACTGCATGTATTTTCCTACCTGACTCCTACTATGCCTTCTTGCACCCCTTCATCTCATTTCAGATTCTTCTCAAAACTTCAAACAGCCTGTGCTCTTATCCATGTTCCTCCCCCACACCTGAGAACAGGAGATCTCTTCTCTTCAGAAGACTTCCCAAGAAGCTATACTTTAGTTCATTCGAGGCCATTCTTCAAAGCCTGGTATTTCTTCTATGTCTGTTAGAGCTGAACTTCTTGTAATCTCATTCCTGTTTCCTGTCATGACTTCTTGTATGAATCTCACTTTTTGCCATAAGAACTGAGGTTATCACCTCATTCCACAAAAACCTAATTTAACATTAACATGTTATTATATGGTTTAACCCCACTTGTCCCCTTTTGTCTCTGCGCAAACTACGAACACAATTAAAAACAAATGTTACTCACCTGTCAATGAACTGGTCAATTATGACAAGATCACCAGGTTGTACTTCCTCTCGTAATGAACCACAGGCAGTAGTCACTAATACATGCGAACAATTTTCTTCTTTTAATGCCCAGATATTGGCACGGTAATTGACATTTGATGGCATAATTGTATGATGCCTTCCATGTCTGCAAAGATACATGTTGCAAGAGAGTAAAATAAATCAGACTGAAATTGCCTTCCTTCTCCCAGATAAAGAGAATTCCAGGAAATGTAATTTCCCTAACAACCCTGGGAATGGAACTGATCATTTCAGCTACTGCCAGTGTAGCTTGTCTTCCTAACTGTATTACTGTTCCCTCAGTTTTTGATTTAAGAAGTTGTGGTGTAGTTTTCTTCTTAAATGCAAAATTTTTAAGTTCAAGACTGCAATGAAAAGAATCTTGAAAACACAATTCAAATATACTTCAGCAGCTTCAAAAGTACAAAAAGCATCTTTCTCTGAATTTTGTCAGTTCCATAGATTCTGAAAACCCAGGTGTAGCAAATGAAATCTTCCATACACTACGACAAATTTGTAAGATTTACATACACCTCTACAAATTTTCTGCCCAGAAGTGCCATTTGTATTCTCCCACCCAGAAAAGAGCAGCACATCACAGGAATTAAAACTAGAAAGAACACAGTTTTAATCTGTTGTCTTCCCAAAGAAAACAGTAGAATCATCACATTTTTCTCTTTGCTCTTAAAATTATCTGACAGCTTTCATAAATTAGAAGAATGACTTCACACTGCTGCAGCATGTTTTTTCACTAAGACAGGAAATACTTAGTCTTACAAGCACAAGCTTTCATGTTATCTCTGTCATCGCTACAGAGGTACATCACTCACATAGTGACTAAACACATTTGAAAATTATTTTCAAATACGTAAGAGGCAAGGAGGAACTTAATTTCACAACTGATTCTTTCACAGTGACCAAGAGGTCTTGAGAACTTGATCAGTTGTGAACTGGGAGTTGCACACAACATGACCAAGCACTGTCAGGCAGGATTCCCATGTTGTCATTAGCATTTCTGATAAGCTACTAGGCATGTAGTTTTATTGTTTAATGTTGCAGTTGTTGCCATAACCCTCTTCTAGAATATACATGCCTTTTTTTTTTTTTTTTTTTTTAATCTGGCAATCATAAACAACTCTGTTATTTTTCTGAAAACACGAAGTGAAGCTGCAGGTACCTCAGCCCCAAAAGTAAACTCATGGGGGTGATACGTAAATGGTCATAAATCCCAGTGAGGATGTAAACCACAGCCAAGCTGCTCAGTCATCTGTAGCCCAAGGCCTACTTTGATACAGCACGTCTATAGGACCTTGGCTTAGCATTTCATTTGAGAAAATGAGAAAAATGTTGTCCACGTGTAATCAAATACATGAGCAAAGCCCATGCAAGGTAAGAAAAGTAAAACCACAGAAAGAAGTGTAGCTGCAGAGATGGTAACAGTCAGCAGCTTAAGGGAAAAATACTGGGCATGAAAAGAATTTTGGGGCCCTGAGTGCACCACTGGGTCATAATTGCTCTGGCCAGCCTCACCCTGGGCCTCCACCCAAACACCCGGTGCCCATGAGTCCAGGTGCTCCCGCCTCCAAGCTCAGGCCCCAGCCCTCACTCCTGGCCTGAGCAAAGTCACAGGTGTGCCTGTCCCCAGCTGCGTCTCCCGGATGGCCTTCAGACCTCTGCTGTCGTTTGTCTCCAGACACGTTTTCTGGATGAACTTTGGACACACACCGCAGCCTTGTCTCCAACCCTGTCTCTGGCCCCATCTCCTACTGCTCCTGCCTGGACTCCCTGGATGATTACCGGACTTGATTCATCACCTCGACTTGTCTGGGACTGCTGATGGACCCTGTTATCAGCACCTGGCTCCACCCGTGCTGTTCAGATGCTGAGAAGTGTCAGTATTCCTATGTCTAATCTAGTAGCACATTGGTCCTAGATATCCACTGTTACGTTAGTGTGAAATTTCCATGTGCTCATCTGTAGATCCTGTTTCGAGATTCTCTTCTGAGTATGGTAAGAGATGTTTCAATAAAAACGACCCAGGGAGGAAGAACGACATGGGATGCAGCCTCCTAAGCAATAAAGGTAACAGCCAGAGGACTCAATAATCAAAGGGAATGATTTGGAAGAGTCTGCAGTGGTACCAGAGATACAGTTCATCTGGAAACAGGCAATTTCCCAGTTTCACAAAGGAAATTTGCAAACACAGGGAGCAGACAGATTACTGAGGTTATCAGGCACAACCTACCTACCACCAGAGCAGGCAACCTTGCAGGTTGCTGTTATTCCTAGGGCAACAGCCCCCACTGGATTTCTCTTTCCTAACCTAGATGGTATTTTTAATACTCTTAGTCCCTGCAGCATCAAATTTGTTCAGCAAAAAAAAACCAGACTGCTGCTGGACTTTGCTAGCAACCACACAGAGCAAGATGAAGTCAGAGTAAAAATTCAGTTCATCTAATGTAAAAAGAAAAAACTTTTCAGAAAACTTCAAGACACATAATATAAAACCCCTTAAAACGTTCATTTACCTTGCCAACAGCACACAGTCCACATTTTTTATCTTTCCCAATATCAAAGCATCCGAAGGCTGCAAAGCAAGCAAATAAGAATGAGCTACAGCCTGACAATCACATTAGAAACCTTAACTGCTATTTAAAGATAAGCATGATAGTTATGAAAGGAAATACTGGTTACCACTGTTGTCTCACATTTTCTTCAGCTCAGAGTAAGCCTGTAATTTGATACGGCAGATTAGTAAAACAGTCTGGAACAGGAAGATCAAACTTGACACTGGAAGGATTATCACAGTTTTTCTGTGCTCATACCAACATAAAATATTGCAACTCCTTACTTTAGGGTTTGAAACAGTAACACTTTCAAATACTTTGAAACACTGTTTGTGTAGCACTGTTTGAAACATGAAAAAACAAACATGTACATTTTGCCTTTAAATTGGTTAGCACATCTCACTCTCTCCTGTAAACTTTAGTTGCTTTTTGCTAAACAGGTGCCATTCCCTATTAAAAGCCCTCTCCCAGCAGAAATCACATTTAATCTGTTCCTTTCCATAACACTCCCCACTCTCTTCTCTATCCTCTTTCTACCATGGCCCCCTAGCTCACATGCATGTTCTAGACTCCTCCAACCCACCCTTCATTCCCGCTCCAGCTTCCTGATAAACTCCCTCTTCCCTGCTGCTGGGTGTCCTGCTTTTGGGGAGTGAATTGTGATATGACAGACAACTTCTGGTACACTAGCGGCAGAAGTAGTGTCGGATTTGTTCAGCCCAGGGACCAGGAGACAGCATGCACTCTCCTCTCACAGCTACAGGAGAACAGGCATTCCTCCCGACTGACCAACCAGCCAGGAAGCTACAGTATTTTGTTTTTCGCTGCCCAGCTGGGACACGTGCCCTGCCTTGGAGATGGTCATACTGTCCCCGTGGGGCAGCCCCCAAGACATCCATCACCACTACAACAAATTAACTGCTCTGTGGGCTGTTCCTGGACTATATGCAACAGGGATCTGAAATACACAATGCTTCCAGCTTCCCTTTTTGTTAAAAAAATGCAAGGCCTCTGTTTAATTAGATGCTAAACTGTATTTGTGCTGAGCAGTGGTGCAGTTGGATGTGCTGCTTCTCATACCCAAAACTGTGTGCATTTCACTCTTTTTATTGCAGTGCAGAAGAAACTGTAAATAAGCTGGAAGCCACTCTGGAAATCTCTCCTTCCATGCCCTGGGATTTAAAGCAGAAATAGCTATTAACAAAAACTGCGATTTTTTTACTAATCACAAGTTTCTAAGTGTCTAGAAGGACTCACACATTTGCATTTAGAAACGTTCTGTTGCCTGCTACTTGATATTATTTTATTTGTATTTTAATGCTAGCTGCACGATTTCAATTACCATTTAGTTTTACAGCTGTTAATTCTATTACACACATGAAAATTTGCAGAGATCTAGAATAAAGTAGTAAGTTGAGTCCCACATAGCTGCATTTTGGAGATACTAATTTCTAATAAAAACACCACTTTCTATTCCCTATTGCACAGCTCTTTTTGGTCATTTTTAATGTGAAATCTCTTCAAAGCACCATGATTTACTCAATCACCTAGGTTTAAATTCTGCCAGACACAGGTTTACCACTTTTTTTTTAATAAAGGGAATATTCCAGAATATTTATTTTTAGAACTGTATTGTATTCTGCCTTCTTTTTAAAAGTCTCCATTTAACAGTAACCTATTGACATTCAAATGTTTAATCTATTTACCTTACTTTACACATACTCTTCTGAACCAGACACGGTTTTAAAAGTGAAATTTCACACAGGGCGAAAACCTTGCTGTCTTGTTGCCAAGGCATTTTGATGTTTCAACATTCCACAACAATGACAGTTCACAATAATTAGCACTTGGGGGTTTGTTTTTTGGGTTTGTTTTGGTTTGTTTAGAGATTGCACATTTGTTGCGTGAAGTAACGAACATGCAACTTAGCTCACAGCGGGATACAAAAATACTCTTAAAAACTAAAGAGGACTTCAGCTGAAATTCCTTGCCTCCTATCAAAATGAATCGTGAAGATCAGTAAGATGAAGACTGGATCCTTTGCTTTACAAGTGAGAGATTCAAGTTTATTGCAAGCGATGGATTCAAGTTTATATCAATTTCCAAAATATTTGGGGTAGAAGGGTACAATTTAACTGCTATTTGATACTCATCCCCACCGCATAACTGCACTGAATTCTGGCATATACCGCTGATGCAGCAAGAATTCAACTCCTTTGAAATCCAACAGGCTTCAAAATCTAGTTGCAGCAGCCAGGGTTTCCTTCCCTGTCTGCTGTCATCCTAGTCACTTCAAAAGGGTTCAGGGTGGCTGTGTAACAGGACCAGTTGTCATCTCTATACAGATTTCCACAGAACACATTCAGGGCATCTTCCAGGTGACTGCCTGAATACCCTTCTTGCCTGATTGCTAGAAACATGGCAGAGAGAAAGATTTGGAACAAAGAATGCGCTGCTAAATGATGAACTGACAGTTTAAGAAAAGAATTTGCAGATACTGCATCATGGGTCATTAAAAGAGAGGAAATAAGGATAAATCAGCATGTGTAAAGTTACAAGGAAGCGCAAAATACAGACATTTCAAACTATGCATTAACCACATAACAGAGCTAGTGGGAGAAAAAGAGCAGAACGGAATCACACACAAGTTCTTTCCAGTGCCGTACCTCTCTACTATTATCTCAGTTGTAGTGAGGAGCTTTGAAATGCTGGTAAAATAATAAAAACTTCCAATGGAACAATCTGAATTTAAAGTTGTAATACAGTATTTTTAAAGCAGGATTTTATAAAAGGCCCAATAAAAAGTTCTTGAACATTAGTAATTCATATAGGTATTTAACTACTTCCCCTTCCACAAAATCCCAGTCAGATATATATTACTCAGTGTTGCAAAACAGAAAAGGAAGCAAAGAACCCTGGGCAGTTAACCCTAAATTATGACAGTAACAAACAACTGAAATAAATCCCCTTTGTCTGCAACATAAATATGCATAAAGTACTATTCATGTGCTGCTTACAGAATTAATTTTTTCCTTGGTCTCACCTCAGAAGCAAGCTGGAACAGAAGAAAAGAAAATGAACAAGCCAAATAAAAGTCTCAGGAAAACTTGAGATGGAAAAGTATCTCATAGGTTCCCCAAGTCTTTATTTAACCTGTGATCTAGTTTAGGAACCAAACGACGTACATCGTTTTGGGGAGGCGGAAGAGGAGCTTTAGTGTTATGTCACAAGGTCTGATTTTCCTGATGCAAGCATACAAAGCTCATTTGCAAGGTGGATCCCTTCCCCTCCTCCCCTGCTTCGTTTCCCACATACACCCTATGATGAAAAAAAGAGGGGGGTACCTAAATTAACTTTCTAGAACAGGAAAATATTTTGCCGATTTTGGGAAAGGTGATTCAGAACCAACTTCTGTCACCCAGAAAACAAAACAATCTAACTGAAAGTTTATTCTGAACAAAATTTTGTTAGTAGCTTCAAAATTCAATGATGAAGGTAAATGCTGCTGCAAGCAATTTTCTTATTCTATAAGAAAACAATATTTTCCATATCTGGAGATGGAATGCCATAAGTTTTTAAGGTATTTGCCACAGAATACCGAATTTTTGATGCAATGAAAATGGTGCAAGTGGACAAGGGAGAGAACAAGGCTAGCTTATTAACAGCTGTAAGGATATTTATTTTTTAAAAAAATAACGTACTGCATCTTCCCTAGTATTACTAATGCAACTTGAAAGATCATGGGAGGACCAATGCCAATAGAGAATTTCAAAAATTCTCATACTAGTTTCCTTTAAAGTTTTCTGCATTTCACCTGAAAAAAATAGCCCCACATTCCCTGATGATGTAAGTTTTGTTATTAAGTAATTCTTGTGATTCAAGAAGGCCAAAGCAGAAGACAAATCAAGGACTCTATATGAACAAAATGTAAGCTATTATTCTGCTTCTAAAGGTAAAGAAACAGCATTAAAGAAACGTCTATTTTGCTGTTGTCAAATGTCACAGGTGCTAAGCAACATCACCACCAGAAAGGTGGTCAGTTAAAAGTCTTTTGGCTATGTCCTTGCCAAGAAACTTCAGAATTAAGACCCAGAACATAAGGAAAGTAGAATCATACACTTTGCATTTTTACAGGATAGAATGAAATGGACATATATTTTTTAACTATGCCTTGCATTTTTCTTTTGGCATTCAGACATTCATTTTCATTCTTCCTAATTTTGCTTGAACTAAATAGGGTTGATGTTGCATCTGTAATTTTCCCAGCAATGAAACAACCACAAAGTTCTGAACACTTATTTAGATTAAGCCCTTTACCTCTTAAAATTTCAGGCAGAGTCTCTCTCCACTGATGTCACAGCTCTATGAAAAAGCATCTTTATGGCAGAAAAACCCCAGTCTGGTTTTATTTCAGTAACAATCAAGAACAAGACACACCTTTAGAAAAAAATACTAACATAAACCACAAACTCCTGAACTTTTCCAAGCACACTTAAAAAAACAGTTCTCTTTGCCCTTTAGCATTCGCCAATAGCTGCTTCTCTCATCTCTGTTGTTCTAAAATGAGAGAGGCAGACTCTGTAACACCTCCTTCCTGAATGCTAGAAAGTCTCAGCAGCAAAATAAGCAAACACTGATCCACCTGATGATACCAGTTAAATTTATGAGGTTTGCTTCTGCTTCAGATTGAAGTCCATCAACCTGATCCACTCAATGCACTTTATGCCACTGTAACTTGTGGTCTAAGCCCTGCACGTCTTACACTAAGGCTGATCCACCAGTTGCTTCATGAGGGCGAAAACTGCGTTCAAACACTGAAGTTAATGCGATTCCATGCAGGACTGAATCTACATGAAACAACCATCAGACCAAGGGCCTGTGTTCTTAGGAGCTCAGGTCTGCAGGCAGAGAGAAGAGATACAGTCTAGCAGGGGTTAAGGACAAAAGTTCACTGTTTGGCTGTGCTCCCCTTCACAGATACAGAAGCCCTACAAATCATAGAATCATAGAATTGTTTAGGTTGGAAAAGACCTTTAAGATCATCCAGTCCTGCAGTCTTCCAACCAGGTAAGCTTAACAGTCCCAGTTCAGCTCACCACAGTATCTAGAATCCACGCTTAGTTCCTACCATGGCATCTCAGTTATACCTCTCCCCCCTTACACAGAGATAGAATATTCACAAGCTTTTTCTTTAAGTTCAGCCTATGTTAAATGCATAACACACAAGCTCAGACAGAGCCAGTCCATTGATCAAGGCTTCTCACAAACCACAACAGGCAATGAAGATTTATTTTCCCCTATTCATGTTGCATTCTGTGAAGAACACAGAAAAAAAACCAGCAGCTAAGCTGCTTCCTAAACAAAATTAAAAAAGCCTTCCATACTGACCAAAGGTGCAAGATCAAGGAAGCTTTTTCCACTCCCTTGCAGAGAACACATCCTGCAGGTACTCCTACTCTCCTCAGTAATACTAAACCCTGCTGTAGGCCACCTTACTGCACTGCAGTATTTGGGCCACCCAAATCCTGTTGCATCCCAGTGCTGTGACAGAACAGCCCTCCAAATGCTGTGCTGCCGCTGTGCCCTTAACTCTGACAACTGAGCAGGCCCCTGTGAGGGAGGAGAAGAGTGTCTCATCCTTCCTGGATACAAAGGCTTCAGTGAATATGTGCTACCAGCATAGTGCTATTTTTGCTTTGTGAGCAGTCTGCATACACAGCCATGCTGTGACCATCCATGACTCTCAAAAAATAGGGAATGCAATGGCAAGTGGTTGGGTTTAGCCAGTCCATTCTACTTCAGACCAATGCTGGCTACCAGTTGGAAAGCAGGGTATGGAAAATGGAGGAGGCAAGTTCCCTTTATTCTCTTGTGGTTGTTAGCAGATTTTGAAGGATGGTGGAAAAGTCAAATGTATTTTTCTGATTATGTTTTCTCCTCCCTTAATCTTTACCTCCTTCCCCTTCTTGAATGGCGCACACACCAAACTCTGCTTGCTCTTTACACTCTTACTTCTCCTTTAAACCATTTTGAATGGAGGCACGGATTCAGATTTTCAATCACACACCACAGCACTGAGCTTTCTGGCAAGCTTCTACCCATAAAATGGCTCTTGCTACCACATGCCAGATGTTTTATTGTATGTATACTAGCTTACACTGGTAGATTTCATAAGATCTAATTCTGACTGCAATTATAAAGCGTCCAGACTCCTCTGGTCTTAGGACATTACAGAATATCTGAGATCCAGTTCTTCTATGAACTTCCTGTGTCAACTAGAACTTCTCTCCCACTTGATTTCCTGCCTATAAAACCCTGTCTCAACCTTTGTCTTGCCTGTTCCGACTATAAATGCTTTGGGGCAGGAATTGTCCTTCACAACACGCTCGGCACTGTGTGTAGAGCAACACCCCCAACCTCCACTCCCTTTTGCTGAGGAAAAGGGCTGAAGCAATGTGAAGGAGAGTTGGTCAAGAATACATGTGCCACAAAAACAGTTTCAGAGCTTCATTTTCAAATCAGTTTAAAATTATGTGATTATAAGCACGACTGTAAGGAGACCATTGGTATGTAAACCATAATTCAGGGAAAATGGTGGCCCATATACCTCAAAGGACAGTTTTCTGCAGTTCAGAAAGGTTCCTGGGGCGATCTGACATATACTACAGGTCACACAACAGCACCAATTTGAAAGAGATGGTTTATTTCTCTTGACTGTAAATTCAGGACTGAGTTTGTAAATTCATCCAATGGACAAATGAGAAGAGGTATAGTCTCCTTTGCACGTCATCTTTCTAACACCTTGCTTCTACAAACTAAGAATCACACAATACATAGCAACTAAAAGGAAATAGTCTTGTGACAGTACCTCCTTTATGAATTCATTTAACAGTCTGAAAATTCTTAAAGCATACAAATGTCTTTAAAACCAGCAAAAAGTCTCAGTAATAAAAAAAAAGGTTATACAGACCTTGCCATAAGGAGTATCAACATATTTTTCTGTTCTTCCTTCTAAGATATCTGGATCATCCAGGCCAGTTCCACCAATAATTCCGATCTTACACAGAAAAAGTACATATTAGTCCTCTTGAGATTACGCTCCATTTAACAGCATGTCTGAAAAACTAACTAGGCAGCTACAAAACCTATCTTCTGCTTGAGATGGGTCTAGATTACAGATCAACAGAACATAATATGCCTAGCACATATTCCCAGAAAGGAAATTTTAAATGACTGATTTTAAACAACTGTATTTAACTTGCCAGTTTCATACACTATGATTCTCCTCTGTAAAGATACCCAATTTAAAAAGCTATGGGAAATGTGCAAAGATGTCCCAATTCATCATTTATTCCCAGTACAAAAATGAAGGGTGCTATTTGGGAATGACTCTAATGAGTAAGAAATACCTATATAATGCATATTATAACAAAGACTTCTTGTTTCCATGGGGAAAACCAGTCCTATACATAATGGCCATACTGAATACCAGGCATTACTATATAGTATTACACATACAAAATAATGACAACTTTTTTCAAAAATTAGAAGGTTTTTGTGTTGGCTTGCCAGGATCTAAGAACTTCCCTGTTTCTCTAAGTTGTCTCTCTACAGCTTCTGAAAAGGGGGACAGCTCAACAGCATCTTCACAAGTGAAATAAAAAGAATCTGCTGACAATTTCACCTGCTGTGAGCACTGCTGCGTTTCTTCACATATTTACAGTTAGCTTGTCTGGTACCTAAGAAGGTGCAGACTTCGCCTGCAGCTGGGTCGCTAACGGTCTCCTCTGTAGATGCACTGGTGTCAGGTTTTATTCAACTCACAACCTTTCCCTAAGTAGAAACTTAACAGACTCTTGTTCCTCCTACTTTTTTTAATGAGGTCTTTTCAAGTACTTTTTTCCCAAATTTTTATGAAATTGACTAACAGTTTCAAAGCATAATGGGAAGGGAAAAAAAAGGGGAAAAGGGCCACGTAAATAATATGTATTTTATTTCCTTAGGAAATCAGGCTAAAAGTCCTGTGTTGTGTTTTGACACAACTTTTAGTGAAGAAGCATGAAGTGACTCACAATTACCACCTATCTGTCATGCTTCACTAATCACCGATTTCTTGTTCTTGCTCATCTGTCCTAATTCTTTTGTAAAAAAGGGGAAAGAAGGAAAAATGGTAATTTGAAACATACATGCTCACTGAGACTAGACTCACCCGTGATTTTGCACTGCAATTAAAGAAAAACGCATCTGAATTTTCTTGTTTCTAGTTCATCATTGGAAAGTACCTTGTTTTGGTCATTCCAGGGATAATCCCATTTTCAATCACGTAAAGTTTTCTCTTGAGCTCAGAACACTTCTAGCTCTTTGGATGGAATGGGTACTGTCAGACCCTTCACAACCTCAAGTTTAGTAATGGTATTTAAAAATAATGTCACCATTTATCACACACAGAGAAAATGCTACTGGTTTTTTTTTTTTTTTTCAAATGCAACCAGTTGTTGAAAAGTTTGTCTCACTTCTAAGTTGAAGAATTCTAATCATGGCTGAGTGCTTCTCATGGGAAAAAAAAAAATTTGGAACCATTCTGGTATGACTTATTACCGCAGGGTTCCACCATTTTTTTATTATTTTTAAAGACAGCAAATTTCTCAAGTAAAACCTCCAGACTTCAATGTGCAACACCCCCCTCCACAACACACACCCAGCTGTCTCTTACTCTAGTTTTTTCTTAACTCTTACATTCATAGAGACCTCATTTGTTCAACTACTATATTAGTCAGCTCATCAAGTATTTCGTTTCAACAAGCAGAGGCTCTGTGGTCTTAGTTACACACCAAATAATTCTCGGAGAAAGCTTTCCACACCAGATGGTGTAAATGCTGATACGCTGAAGTAGTTTTGACAGATCTCCTATTTCCTTTTGCTACCCCCCTGTGGAGCACGAGGAGTAGTGCAAAGTAAAAACCCACAAACTCCAACCCTGAATATACTCAAGCATTAGGGAAGACCTAGATAATTGTTTGCAGTGGTATTGATGGGTCTGTTCCCATGTTAATCATGTTGTTTATTTATCACAAACATTCAGATTGTTAGATTGAAAAATGAAAATCCTGAAAACTATATAAATTTTAGGATGAACAATTTTTTGCCTTAAGAATCATGTAAGAAGTGTGCAACAGGAACAATCATAAAACTCAAAATCAACAAAAGACCACCTTTAACATTGTTCATACATGCATTCAGTAAACAGGGACGATTACTACATTAACAGAAGCCAGGACCAAAATGGTGACTTTTTTTTTTAACCTGGGGAAAAAAAAAAGAAAAATCCTTCAGTAACTTAACTAGTTTTAGTTTGGTATAATGCTCATTTTATTAGTTCCCTATGACCTAACATTGAGAATATTCAAAAGGGAATGCTTACCTGCCTGAATTTTTATGTCTGGCAAAGTGAAAGTTGTTGGGACTGAAAAAAACCAGTGCAATGCTGGAGATACCAGCTACAGCTACAAGACATAAAAGTTATTTTGGAACCGCAATGCTTTAAGGTCCTTACGAACACGCAGAACCAGCACTGTTAACAGGCTGTTCTTGTACCAGACAGCAGCACACCTGATCTGTAGCAGCACAGAGCTCAGTCTGTTCACGGCAGCACAGGCCTGCTTTCAGATTGCTCTTGGGCTCCCTACTCCTGCCGCTGCAGTGGCATCAATACGTGCTTGTGCTGCACCGCTCAGTTCCAGAGCAGGCTTTTACACCAACAGGCATGCTGTCAGAAATGGCAGTAGTGCAACAAGCTGGCAAAATATTCACAGCTCCCAGGGTGGAGAACCCACAGCATGGAAGAAGAGCTAAGACTACCTTGAAATTGCTCTTGCCTTCTTCCTCCCTGCAAAACACCTCAGCAGCAGTTTGGTCAACCTTAAAAGCCACCTTAGGCAACACTGGCTAGGGAAATGCTGGGCTCACTATAATTCACGGGGGAGCTACTGCAGTGGAAGGAAAGTTAAGCCAGCAGAGATTTGTTGAAGCAGCCACTTCTCCAACCACGTAATGCCAACTTGGAGATAACAGCTCCAACCCTAAAATTAATTTTATTTTAGAATTATTTTAGAGTTATTTTTCCTCTAGTTTATGTAATCAGCTACGTCTAGGGGCTAGAGATCCAAATATTCTGATTCTATATTAAATTCTGCCTTACAGACCTTCTAGCAAATTCTCAAAAGGAATGCAGCTCCTCTAGGCTCAGTGGGGAGATATCCTGCCAAGGGAGCTAAGGTCTATTTCCACCTAGCAGCCCAGGCATTGAAGACAAGGAACAGCAGAGAGGAGTCAACTCAGGGAGAAAAGTCTCACCTTTCCCCAAGAGGCAGAGACTGTCACATCTAGGAGTGGCCTCAAGAATGGAAAGATGCAAGACTGTATGCTCCATTCCAGACTTTGCATCCTACAAAGGGACATGAAGGACATGACCCGTAAAAATTAATGGAGACTGTAAGCTAAGGCTATCTGGAATTAAATTTAAAGTAAAACGACATTGCAGTGGAATGAATCATTAAGTATTTTACTACGGTATAGCCCATCTCAAACATTGGGATGAAGACCAACAAAAGTGAAACAAATTGCAAAATCAAAAGCATTTCTCTATGGGAGTCCAAATAATGATCACGCTTAAGTGCGTGCCTTTCTTCACCTGCTGTTTGGTGAAATTCCTCTAATAGGTTCAAGCACAAGACACAGAAGTACCAGTGCAGTAACAGTCTACACTTGTCCACCTGAGGATCTTAAACACCGGTACATGTTAAGCGTTGTCACAATCAGCTATCAGTCTTCGGGACAACTAACAACCGATGACTACATCTGTATTCCTCTCTTCTATTTTGGGGATAATGAGAAGGGAAGATGGCACTAAAAAGACTGTCACTTAAAAGGAGATAAACAGCAAGCCGCATACAATTTGCAGTTGAAAGAATAAACTTGCTGTCTCTGTAAAATAAAGACAGATTATACCGGACTTCTACACACCGAAACAACGGGGAGAGTTACTTCACCTCAGAAAACTAATTCAAATTTCGGTCAAAACACAAACCCAGAGTTTCAGCCCAGCTGGCCTGTCGCAGGCCGTCACCTTTTGGAGCCATTTTTTTTTAAGCACAGGGGACGGACACGCCTTAGGCGAGACTTGCTGCGCCGGCTCACTTCTGCTGCAGCTTCGGGACCTGTGCACCCTGCGGCAGCTGCAAACCCTCCCCGCTGCCTCTCCCTGAGAAAATCCGACGCACGGCAGCCGCGTCGTAAACCCTGAGCAGCAGAGGACTCCGGATTTCGTTTTAAAAAAATTAAATAAATAAAAAAAAATGGTCTCTTCCGGCAC